GATCACCTCAATGATATTCGGAAAAACGACTCTTCCAAACCAGTCTCCCGTCATTTTAATTCTACCGACCATTCCATTTCTGATTTTGTTGTATTCGGCTTATCCCTAATTAAAGGCGGTAACGATTGCCGCAAAACTAAAGAAATGAGGCTAATTCACACCTTGGGCACGCTTAATCCCCTTGGCATGAACGAACGCTTCTCGTTTAATTAGTCTATTGTTACGTTCGATCCTCTTGTTTCCTTTTGTTTTCCCTTATACTTATCTCTCATTGGTTATTTATCACCCACGCTCACTATATAAACACATTTCCRCATTCATCTCTTGTTTACTCCGATGAAGGACTAACGTTCGAAACGTCAGTTTCATTTTTACATACCATACGGTGTTACAAATTATCTATCTATCAACTGTTTTACTGAAAACACCGACGCAGTTTACACTAGTTTTCACTAGTTTTCCACCTTATTCATTGCTTGTTATTGCGATTCTTCATCCATATCATGCACAATCTCATTCAAAAGTTACGTAGGGAGATGGTAAGTTTTTTAACTTCTTTCCCACCTTCTAGCTCCAGCGTTGCTCTTAAGCTTTTTTCACGTACCCTTGCTAAAACGCGTTTTGTAAGTCACATTTATTTCATCGGTCGATGTCTTCACGCCAAAGTTATTCATATTGGTTTTCGCGTTACGTTTAGTTCTTCTAATTTCGCCATTAATTCGGCCAAGTATTCTTCTGATATTTCTTTAGCTGCCCATTCATTTTCTCGTTAAGTAGCAAGGAGTCTGATTATGTAAGACCTTGAAAGTGAGTAGTAGAATCTTAAAGACAATACGCTGTTCTACAGGTAGCCAGTGCAGGTCATATAAGATGGGAGTAATATGATCTTGTTTTAAGGTAATAAGTCGAGCAGTTGCGTTTTGTACATGTTGCAATTTTTGGAGAGAAGTATTGGGAAGACCATAAAGTAAGCAATTACAGAAGTCAAGTTTCGAAGATACGAGGGCATGGATAAGAGTTTCACATGCATTACGACTCGAGTATTTCTAATTTTCCAAATATTATGAATTTGAAAAATGCAGGTCTTACATACAGAAAGTATCTGATCTTCCAATGACAAATATCAAAGRTGATACCAATGTTCCGAGCAGATGTAGATCGAGTAATAGCAGAGTTCGAAATTTCAAGAGATGCAATGGGTGGTAGAGGACGACGAGGTTTTGATAAAACAAGAATTTCACTTTTGTCCTTATTTAGTTTCAACTTGTTGCAAGTCATCCATCTATCAATTTCTGAAACACAGGT